GTGGAGGGCGGCCAACCCCCACGTGCCAAAGGTAGTATAAAAGATCTATTTCAATCCGGATGTTTTCCTGTTTAGATTTAATTCCGGATGTTTTTGATCGTCGGCGGCCGGACGCCATGCTTTGCGGAGGTAGTACAATATACCTGTTCGGTTGTTTACGTGTCCGGATGCTTACAAAGCGTCGCCGTATATTATATACATTCCCTAGGGATCCAAGTATACAAATAATACCAACATTGGGCCCTAAAGTCTTCAAATATTACTTACATTGGGCTAAACCCTAAACCCTAAACTGTTAATATTACCTACATTGGGCTGTTTTGGATCCTTAGGGATCGGGCTCATCTTTGAGCCAGGGTAGGGGGCGCTGGCCAGTGGTAGTTTAGGGTTTAGGGTTTAGGGTTTGGCAAGCTTTGTCCTCGTTTCTCAGAGGGCCGATGTAATTCGTCCAGGGCCCAAGTACTTCAGCGGAGCGTGCCGATCAAAAACACCTTCACGTTCGAGTGCCCCACATACAGCTAGACTCAGGTCTGTGTTGGTCCATGAACAAGGGACCCGAAAATAGCGTGCAGGGTCCAAACTATAAACATTCCTATTTTGGGGGCCCACAAAAAGGGACCCCATTTTTTTGAAAACTCCCTATCCCTTGTTACTTGGCTGCTTGAAGTCTGAGAGCCGGAGGTCTTCTGCAAGAGGTTTGCAATGACCGCTTGAAGAACAGCATCCCTACTCCTTGTAAAGGTCGTGCCTTCGTCGCCCCTATGTAGACGTCTGGTCATGTTTGCTCCTTTGCCCACTGGCTGACCCTTTATCCTATGGGTCCAAGTACCAGATGTAAATATACTTGCACTGCACCTGTACTATAACTACTGTTGCCCAATCCCAGGTACCTAATTGCTAGGTACTTGGACCCTAAACCCTAAACCCGAAGTCCTATGTATCCCGATGTATCCTGATAGATCCCTTTACAGCGACCTGATCATTCGATGTTTGGACCCTCTGGGCTTTACTTTATGAACACCCAAAACCACAACCCTCAACATTGTTCAAGTGCAGACAGCTCTTCCGCGTAGGGAAGAAGGTTTACGGTTAAGGGTTGAGGGCTTAGGGTTCAGGGTTGTGGCACCGGGCCACAAGGGTAGCACCAACATCTGGCCCAGTCAGGCTGCAAAGACTTGCGTCGGGTGTTGAGGCGCCGCTTTTGAACCCGTTCCAGTCAAAGTTAACGCTCAAAGGATTTTAGGAGCTGTGTTCTACGAGTTTGCGGATAGATGAATGTGACGGCAAGGCCCTAGCCAGAAGGACAAACCAGGAAACGCTGCCAACCCTCGCCATATCAACCCCTCAGAATGCAGGAGCTCTCTGCCATATGCGTCCTCCCCCGTTAATCGCTCTAGCCTAGCAGTGCAAAAAAAAACAACATTCAGACCCAAAAGATGGAACCTCCCCATAAGGGAGTCATGTTTGTGTTTTCAGTGTTATTTGATGCTTTAGGGGCGAATCTGGGATGCAATTCCCAAAAAATCTGGTTGCAGGTATCGTGGCCCCTGGAGTAGTACCTGGACTCCAACAGTATCAGTAGGCAAAACAACAGCCCAAAAACCCTAACAACAACCCCAACGGTCATGATTCTACATGAGCTATAGTTTAAGCTCCTTAAAGGGGTTATTAACGGGGTTAGTACCGTAAGAGTTTAGACAATAGATCACATGCTTTTGCGGCGCAGGTAGGAGCCGTAGGTACAGCCGTTGGGGCATCTCAACGTGATACAAGATATTCTCCCTCCACCTGTTGCCTGATGTCTAACATCCCCCTGAACCCTAATCCCTAATCCCTAAGCATCCCCAAACCCTAACCTTAAGGGTCTAGGGACCCAAATAATGGGGTCTTAGGGCCCAAGTACCTATAATGTTATAGTATTTGGGCCCTAAAACCCTATCATTTGGGTCCTTGGACCCTTAGGGTACACCCTAAACCCTAAACCCCAACAGTAGGACTTCTTTTCTCCGGAAGTGCTGGCCGTGGTGCAGCTTCAGGGTAACCAGGCCTCAGCTCCTAAGGACTTTAGGATTTCGGGTGTGGGGTTTAGGGTTTACTCTTTAGGGTTTAGGGTTTGGGGTTTAGGATTTAGGGTTTCGGGTTTAGGATTTAGGGTTTAGGGTTTGGGGTTTCGGGTTTAGGATCTAGGGTTTAGGGAGTATAGCCATCCTAAAGTAGCTAGAACCTGCCGGTGTTGAAAGAAAAGGTGTTTTCACAAACGGATAGGAATAATATTTGGGATATGGTTCTGCAAAATCCCAAAGTCCAAAGATCTAATTCTATCTACGTAAGGATGACTATAGGGTTTAGGGTTTATGGGTTTCAGTCAAGAACATACATTAGGGGTCCCTGACTTGCATAGGTTTTCCTGATGTACGACTCTACAGGTATGTGAGGATCATAAGAGTAATTATATGAACCATAGTCTAAACTCCCTAAAGGGTCGTTATATAAGGGGTCTATATGGGGGACTACTATAGGGGTTATTAACGGGGATACTAGGAGTTTAGACTATAGCTCATATAGCGTGATTAATGCTTCAGGCTCCTACACTTGATGAGGCTATGTGGAGCCTGAGGGCAGTAGAGTTTCAATCCTAAACCTTCAATTACCCGGTGGATACGTCCCTCAGAAGGGCCAAGACTGGTGTAAGGGCAATTGGGTGATCTGAGGTGTAGAGGTGTACATAGTCCTTGTTTCAGGTTGCTCGCATGCTGGTTTTGGGGTTTGGGGTTCCAGGTTCGAGATTTAGGGTTTTGGGTTTTAGGTACCCATCTGCAGATATCCTTGCTTGCATTTGTTTTTTGGGCTGAAAGGTGCATTTAGTGATGTCGACTGGGTACACGGATGTTTAAGCATTGGACATAAGTTTTCGAACGTGAGGGAACATGTACATGTACTCCTTGTAGAGCCCATGTCCACCGGCTGTGCCAGATATCTTGGCCGCATCTTACATGAGGCGGAGGCTTGCATTGCATATATGTGAAAAAGTGCATTGTAGGATTCGTGCGAAAATTCATGACTGTTTGTCTTGGGTGTACTCGGGGAAGGGACCATATGCTAAACCTTAAACTATGGTCCATGGAAGCTTTAAAGTTCAACCATCTCCTTGTTTTCGGTTTCATGTCTGTTTCACTGAGGGTACTGCTGCCCTACAGCCCAAACTCAAGACCTCTAGAGATCTCTAAACCTTACAACCCTAACCCCAAACCCAAACCCACAACCTCTAAAGATCTCTGGAGCCTCGAACCTGAACCAGGGTGGGCTGAATCTGAACCAATGATATGGTCCTAGGCTCCTTGCTTCATTATAGCAAAGGGTACCTCAAATAGACCTCAACTTGATATTGGCAATTACTTAGCCCCATGACATTGTGGAAGCCCGCACCCTACAAGTTCTGAGAGAAGCTGTCATTGCGGTCAGGATACGGTGAACTGGAGGTGATTTATCCGAAGCAAGTTGTACAGTTCATGCACAAATTCTTGCATTAGGTTATGACGGTTTATATGGTGGACTCATGCAGGCCTCGGCCCGTCAAGTTTAGGGTTACGGGTTCACGGTTTTATAAGATTCCCGTTAGTTTGGTATAGTAGCAGGCCCAGGGCTCCCAGCTACCTAAATAGTAGGCTACTGGGCTATGTAACGATAGGGTATATAGAGCCCAATTCCCATTATTTAGGTACCTGAGAGCCCTAGGCAGCCAGAAAACCCTAAACCCTAAACCCTGCATCCCGCGCGAGTGATTGAAAAACCTTGGGAACGCAGATCAAATCGCCGCAGCAGTGCTAATTAGCGGGTTGCTCTCCTCAGCCCTCCCCCCCCCCGCCCATCCAACCTTAAACTCTGTAGGACTCACCAACCCAAAACTGTAGTCTCCTTAGGAATTCTTCTTAATTCGTGTTATAGTACAACCCTAAGGAATTATCAAAAATACTTCTCTTATTATGGGTCTGAGGAGACTACAGTAAAGACCAGTGGTCTAACTAACGCAGCAATCCGGTGGTCTGAGCCCGCATGTTGCCAGTACCAACTGCTCGACAACCCATTTGGTCGTGGTCTCAGCAACGTATCACGTTGGATTGAGCCGACAGCTCTTGGTAGAGAGTTGTATGGGTTGCAGTGTTGGGCTTCCAGCTTTCATAAAATTGGCTTTATCAACGAAGGATGGAGCTTGAAAATCCATGTTGAGTTGGAATCCGACCCTGCAGACTCTATGCATACTTACATAATCTTACATACACATCCAGGACTTCGACACGTTTTTGCTGACGAAATACACCCTAAATGGTTTCAAAGGTTGTCTTCAAGGCCTGAACGTGGTTTAAGGTGTCTTGCTTAAGTACGGGTTTCGCAAGCCCTGGGCAAGTTGTGGGGCCAGGGCGCCTCTGCAACTGGACAGCATCCTCATTTTTTCGGCAATCGTTACAATTCCCATTAAGGAGGAACCTTGGGGAAGGGTATGAAGCGGGGTGCTGGTTAGGGAATCTCAAAATAAACATTCACACAGGTGATGTCAGCCTTTGGGCTTTATCCTTACAAAGCGCATGCGAGACCGCCATCATCTCGGACCCCGCAGGACATGCAACTTGCGTCATGGAGCCCATGAGATTCCGGATTCCAGCTTTAGGGTTTAGGGTTTAGGGTTTAAAGTTTAGGGTTTAGGGTACGGTACCCTGGAATCGAAGAAAAGAAAAGGGGACCCTGCAAAGACGCCTTTTCCTTTAAAGTGGTGTCGTATGGGGAGTTCCACCTGTAAATATTAGGTGCCATAATATAAGCTATAGCCAAAAGGGGCCCATACATTTGTGAACAGCCCATATGGGATTCCATGTTAGATTGGGAAGGGTGCGCCCAAGCCCGTCTTTGCTAGGGTCAGGGTTTTTGCTGAGAATGCACACGGTGTTGCATCTGAAATTGTAGGTGTTAGAGTTTAGGGTTCAGGATTTAGGGTTGCAAGTGCGTGACCACTACCTAGACGGCCCTATACCCTACCCCTTTTTGGGAATACCTAACTTGAAGCCTCATATGTTCTACATAGAGAGTTAGGCACCCCCAAAAACAGGTATGAATAACATGACCTTTTCCTTGTTGTTGAAGCAGGGAAGCTGTTCATAAATCATTTCTGACGGCCCCAGAATATCCTCAATCATAAAGTAATGTCCATTTATTCTCCACTTCATCCCCTACCGAACCCTAAACCCAAAAACCCTAAAACCCTAAACTTGAAACCCCTAGATTCGAAAACCCTAAACCCTAAAACCCTCAACCCTAAACCCGCAGGTTGTAAGATCTGCATGTGGCACAACCTGAGGAAATCTGGGCGGCAACTGGGCAACTGCCCTGGCCCAACACCCAGCTTGGGGTTTTTGACTTTTATATGGTTTAGGGCAGTTTATGGGGGGTTAGGGTGCAGGTTTCAGGGTTTAGGTTTGAGAGTTTAGAGTTTATGTTTTAGGGTTGAGGATTATCGTCGAGGAATTCCTTTGTCAGGTTTCTTACACTAACACCAGTTTCTCTCAGTATTCTTACCTGGTCTATACTGCTTGGGATATACAAGCTTCATGTCAGGGTTCAAGGTGTCGGACTTAGGGCACATTGCATCCCTGCACAACGCGTCCCCTTCTGGAAAAAAAACACCGTTGCACATTTAATTCTGAAGACGGAAACCACTGAACATGAAAGGCAAAAATCCTGAAGCCTTTACGACCAATTCCTAAAGCGCTAAATCCTCAAATCCTAACACCATAAACCTAAGACCTTCCAGTCTGAGCCTAAAGACCCTACACCGTTTAGACCCTATCTCAAGCAGCCTGTGGCGAGGCAAGTGCTGCGGATGCCAAGATTACCGTCAGCATGCAGGAGGCCGTGCGCCATCGATTCTGTATTCGGGGCTTAGGCTATTAGGTAAATTCCCAAAATAGGGAAACCCCAATATAGACCCCAAAATATTGTAATCCTTAATATGGGGATCCCCAAGAAGGCACCCCTAATTTTAGGAAACCACCATTTCAGGCTCGTTTCGAAATGTAAGAAGAACCTCCTGGTCCAAAACAGCGATATGAACTTGTTCACATGCTGTTGTTGTAGGTGTTTGGGTACTAAAGCTTTATTCGTAGCTTTGTCCTTGCCTGGGTATGCCGTTTTTCTAAGGGTCCAAGTACTCAATATTCATATACTCCCCACAACCTGTACTACAATTACTCATTATTGGGCACATGGACCCTCTGGGTTTTATGTATTTCGCCATGAAGGCTCGGGGTTCGGGGCTACGGGATTGTGGAGCCCCGGGTTGTCTCGGTTGTTTCTGCGATTTCGCCATGAAGGCTCGGGGTTCGGGGCTACGGGATTGTGGAGCCCCGGGTTGTCTCGGTTTAGGGTTTAGGGGTTTAGGGTTTATAGGATAACTAATTATGAGCGTCCTCATTCCGCTCCTAGCCCGGAGGGTCCAAGTACCTAGTAACCATGTGCTTAATTACCCAAAATCTGTCCTACCATTTTTCATTACCCAAACCCCCAGTATCTGATTATTGGGTACTTGGGTCCTAGCTCCATAAACCCTAAACCTAAATCTAATAGATCCCCATAGACCCCCGAACGGGACTTAACTTTTGAGTACTTGGACCCTTATAGGGTAGAGTCTAGGCAAGTCTGTATTAGGTTGCTTCCCATCCCGTAAGGGTACAAGTACCTTTAGGGGGGGTTTAGGGTTTTTAGGGTTTAGGGTTTGGGGGTTGCTTGTCTCTGCTGGCTTGACAAAAAATCGACCCTACGTCGCGAAATGTGGTAGTTTCCCTAAACAAGGGGACCCCAATATGGTCCCAAGAATACTAGGATCCCTATTACGGGGACCCCCAAAACAGGTACCTTCAATTATGGAAAACCCTCATGTTCCTGCAGCCCAAGAGCCAAATCCTCATCTGAATCAGGACCCTAAACCCTATAACGACATAGGGGAATCCTTAACCCAAAGCCCTTATGAACCCTGAACCCTTAACCCTAAACCCTTAACCCTGAATTCCCCCCCCAGCTAGGACATTGTACGTTACTTCCGATTATGGTCACATGGCAGTTTGTCTGGCTCTTATTATAGGGGGTTGATGTAGCAATCACCCTTGTTATCATAGGCCTCATATGGTTCAGGGTTGGAAGGATGCGGCGCTACTTGGATAGTCATGGGCCAAAAAAGGAGGAAAAATTAGGGTTCAACTAGCATGGTGCAATCTAAACCCATACACTGACCAAGAAATCGGCACCCTAAACCCTAAACCCCTAAAGCCCAAAAGGAGACTTCTAATACCTGGTTTGGGTTGTAACAGGCGGAGAAACATGGAAGTCGTTGTTTGGAGGATGCTTAAGCGTATGCCATCCCCTGGGCATCTGGTCTTCGAAGCAAATGCTGCCATGGAAGTTTAGTGTCATACTCATGGATCCCAATCGTGCTTTTGAAGTGGCCCAGACCTTACGTGCAGGTTTTGAGATCGCAAGCTTGCAGTCCTTCTCAAAACGTCAGGGGTGTCCAGGAGGTAGAGCCTCTTTAACATGGGTCGAGCTTATCTGAAATCATATTGCTGACCCTGAAGAAGCCAGCGCTGCATGTTTGAAGCCTTGTAGACCCCAAGCCCTGACCCCAGAACACAAAAGTATCCCCTCACAGGCTTCGATTGAGGCTGCCACACCGACAGCGACCCCTCCTCGGCAATGTTCTAGATTGCCTCTAAGGAGCTTGAATCAAGTTGCCGGAACTTACATTAAGTTGCCAATATGGGTATATCGTGAATAATAGTGCCTCCTTATTGTAGCAACTGAGCTTGATTTCCTTCACAGCAACCCAGATTATCTCTCCAGGGTTGCTTTTACAAGCCAACCCTGGTAGGATCCCTCTAACCATCTCCCAAACATAACATATCCCTCACTTGTCTGTTAAGTATGTTCTTCATTCAGCAATTATCACCTCCATGTCTGTTTAGGGTTTAGGAATTTTGGGGTTACGGGTTTAGGGTTTAGGGATTTGGAGTCTTTACGGCTGGGAAGGTTAAGCAAGCTGAAGAGCAGAAGCTGGCAAGTTGGGGGAAATAACCTTAAACCCCTAAACTCTAAACCCTCAACCCTTAACCCTAATCCTATGTAGCCCCCCGAGTTGGATTGTATGGGATCGTAGGTGTTGTAATAGAGCATTGGGCGCTGCATGGGAGTTTGTTTGTTTCCGGAAGGTTCTGAAGCCCTAAACCCTAAACCCTATAGGGTTCAGGTTTAGGCATTTGTGTGTGTGCGCGTGTCCACAAGGCCAAGAGGTACACTGGGTATTGCAGGCACGATTTAGGGTAGGGTTTAAGAAGCAGATCCAGGTTCCTGATAATCAGATACTCGCCCCCAACCCGTACTGTAGTTGCTATTGCCCAAGTCCTACGAACCCAATGTCCCAAACCCTAAACCCTCAACCCTAGACCCTAAACCCTAGCGTGTCCCAACTCCTCAGAACCCAATTATTGGGTTCTTGCAACCTCCGGCTACATGGGTTACCTACAGTAACTTACACCCGCCAAAACACGGTAAAGATGCAACAATATTCGATACAAACGAACTTTATCTGCGTACATGGCTTACTACTGTTGCGACAAAAAATCCTGCATGACCTTAGTGTACTATTGTACCGTTATTCTCAAGGGTTCAGGTACTTAGGGTCATGCAGGATTTTTAGTATCCACCGCATAAATAGGCTATCCTAAGCCTCAACCGTGTTGAACCTCCAAGCCCTAAGATTTAGGCTTTCCGGCTTAGGGATTAGGTAGGGCTGTCGATGAGGCGACGGAAGGCCGAGCTTCTCATCAAGAAGTTCTTGGAGTTCATGGAATCTGGAGGTCACCTTCCACAGGGTTTTGGTTTTGAAGCATTGAGGGTTGAACCCCAGAACTTGCGCTCCTAGCATGCAAGCTCCAAGCCCTATATCCGGCCGCAAAGTGGTGGCTATGCTGTTGATACCATCCTTCACCTTCTTGGGTACGTCATTTTTCGTTTCTTCGAACTCTGGTTACTTTGAAAAGGATGTAAATCATTACTTTAGTTGGCTAGTTTCTGAGGAGAGTATGGTACAAATCTTTGAGTTCGTGGTGTCCAGCAAAATTGGCCGCGAAAAGTGACGGGTATACTGTTCCTACTGCATGATCGGAAGTACCTTCGACCAAGGGAAATATGGTATTCTGGTATACTAAGCTCTTCCGTTTCTTAGTAGCAGGAGTCGTATCTTGTGGTGTACGTGACGGGACTCTATAAGGGTTGTGGGTTAGGCGTGCAGGATGTAGTTTATTTTTGTTTAACATGGCAGTGCTATCACACGTTGCTATCTCATGATTCAGGACGCTGTCCCTAAGGGTCCAAGGACCTAAATAATAGGGTTTTAGGGACCAAGTACTATAGTATAACTGGTATTTAGGCCCTGAAGCCCTGTTACTTGGGTCCTTGGACCCTTAGGGTGTTTGTTGAAGGGATGAAGGGCGTATGGGATGATCACGTGTTCAGCGCTGGCCAAACTGGGCTTCCTTTTTGATTCTCGGTGTCAACAATGCCCCTTTTAAACCTATGGGGCTTCTGAGCCGTCGAGACAAGCAGACCATCAGTCCCCAGCGCAAAGATTATGTGTCCATGTGTTCTGGGGAAGGTTTGCATGAGTCACGCAGTAAACATGCCTCTGATCTGTCCTCATGTACTCCGACTTAAGTGTTCTCTCATGAGATTTAGGGACGCAGATGGGCAACCTGTTAACCAGCAAAGAATGAAAAATGCACTACGCTTGCTTGCAAAGACTTGACCTGAGACCCTGCGAGGCATCCTTGTCGATCCCAACAGCAAGCACAGCTTCATGAGACTTTGCTGCGATCTAGGAAGGCTTCAGGTTTGGGGTTTGTGTCCGGGCTTCATGTTAAGGTTTGGGGTAGCCTGTCTGGGCTTCAGGCTGTAAGGTATGCAGTTAAAGGTCTACGGGTCCGGCAGCGATGATAGCTACTGAATTTCTGTCAACCAACATATGTTGCACAGGCAGCGTGTTCTGGAACATGCATGAAAGGTCCAGGCATTTGCAAGTTAAGCAAACTTGGTGAGGTTGCATGTCCTTAGACCCTGAGAATGCGCATCAGGATTCACTCTGCATTCTTGACTGTTGATTTGTTTTGTCAACATGGACCTGTTGTATGGGCTTTTGGTTTGCGTTTGGGGTTGAGGGTTCGGGTGCTGGGGTTTATAGTTCTCAGTGAGGCTGCATGTTGATCTCCAGATGAGTCAATTTCAAAAACCAGGCTGCGCAACAAGGCTGCCTGTATACCGCGCAAGTCTATCCGGTAGGGTCCAAGTACTTACCAATCATATACTTGCCCAAAACCTGCAATACAATTCCTCGTACACAAGGCCCAAGTATTTAATTGTTGGGTACTGGGACCCTAAACCTTCAATCCTTTTTATTCCTAACACCCCTATAAAGCCTATACATCTCCCTTCCACGGGACTTGATCAGTGGGTGCCTTGACCCTAAACCTGAACTCTAAACCCTAAGTGCTCCTTACTCCTATATACCCCTCTAAAGGGACCTGATTATTGAGTACTTGAACCCTTAGGGTGTTCTGCGATCCTCCAGAAATCTTCGTCTTTCAGCAGTTAGCATCTGCATGCCTTCAGGGTTTAGGGTGTGGGGGGTGCTTAAAGTGGCATTGACTGCAAACCCAAAGCCTCAAGCTCTAAGCCCCCAATCCCAAACCAGAAACCCAACCCCTAACAAGGCAGGGAGCCATCTGCCCAAAGTTCTAAAGACTTCAAACTCCACATCCTCGAGCCCATGCTCAATGATCTGAACCTACATATCTCATTTGTCAAGGGTTTCCAAAGAATAAGGGTTTAGGGTTTAGGGTACCCTTGCATGAACCTGAAGCAGAACCAAAATTTCATCCGTACGTGCAGACGGGTGGGTGCAGAGCTTTCAGCTTAGGGTCTAGGGATTTGGGGGTGTCCCAAAATTACGGGTACCATTTCAGGGGTCCCCATAATAAGGATTATAGTATTCTAGTGTCTATATTGGGGTACCCGTATTTTTGCGAAACTGCCGTTTGGGGTTAGGGCTTAATTTGGGATTAGGGCGAGGGATCAGGGTTTGGGGAGGGTACCCCAATAATGGAGAATCAAATGGAACAGAAAGTGTAACATGAAATAGAAACTATGCGGGGTATTCTCAACGTGTCTGGTAGAGGATTCGTCCGCAATTTCCAGAAATAATTAGTCACAGATAAAGGTTGCAAGCGGATGAAAAGGCTTCCTTTCCAGGATAAAGCTGGGATTGTACGCACATAACGGGGATACCTGCGACGCCAGCTGGGGCCCTTCTGGCCAATTGTTATTGTTACTGTCTTGCGAGAATATCCTTCCTACGCTGGGTGGAGGAATTCTTGCGCGTCTCAGGATCCCCAAAATGTTCTTTTGTTGGCGGTAGGTCTATAAGGTGGTGTAAGATTTCCTGCATCCACAGTAAGCCTCAGCGGTGCGAGCGTTACATCTAGAATCTTCTTCGGGCACATGTGTGGATGAGTGCTCTCCATTGGCCGAAGTCCTTGCAGTTGCTGAAGTGGATGCACGAATCCGGAGGTTCATGGTATACCCTGAGGATCCCTAAATGGCCAAGTAGCTAAGAAACATATACTTTCCTAAAACCTGTACTACAGTCACTCTTACCCAAACCCACGTACCTGATTTTGGGGTACTTGCATCCTAAACCTTAAGCCCTGAATCCTAGCTACTCTTATAGGTACCTACAAAACCCCAAAAAAACAACTTAACGGGACCCCAAATTATTGGGTACTTGGCCCCGTAGGGTATCCTTGGTGAGGCAAAGCTAGCCGATCGGGCCTTGCCCGTTACTAGGCGCCCCTGAACCTTCTGGCTTGAATTACACAGTTTAGGGTTTAGGCTTTAGGTTTTAGCGTTTGGCGCTTCCGACTTCGCTTGTTGTCGCCAAAAATCGTGGTTTGGGCAAACATATATGGGTACAGTGAGTACCCTCGGTGCTTTCAAAATAGACCCATCATAATTCTAAAGCGGGTCACTTAACATTCATGTCCAATCTCAGCAGGCATCCCGGGGGTACCCTCTTGTGAAAAGCACCCCCCCCCCCAGAAAGTTCTGGAAACCTAAGGACTCTCCTGAAGTGGACGCCAAGGAGGGAGGACCGCCACATGTGGTGTAGGATTTATAGGGGTTAGGGTTTATGGTTTAAGGATGATACTACACCCTCGAGAGAAGCTGTGGGTGCGTAGATATTCAGATCTCGTCGCTAATCGCATGGGCATGTGTCAAAGTGATGCGGCGCTTTGGGTCGTGCATGGAGGCATGGGATGAGTGCGGCCCGTTTACACGGGGCAGAAGCTTGGTGTAATCCTCATACCACTATACCCCATGGTGTCCCGAAGAGACCCCATATGAGCTATAGTCGAAACTCCTTAAAGGGGGGTTATACAGGGGATTATATGGGGACTACTATAGGGGTTATTGAGGGGTATACTAGGAGTCTAGATTATAGCTCATATTGAGAAATGCACAGGCTTCCCAGGTTTGGAGTGTAGGGTGTAGGCTTAGGGCCTTGGGTTTTTGTTTAGCTTTGATTTGTGTCCTGTTGGGGTTAACATACTTAACGGTTCGGAGTAACACCACAGAAAGCTCCTGAATCTGCGCGCGCTAACGCGAGATCGTACTTGTTTTGGAAGTAGAAGAACTTCAGGTGGCTCGAAAGGCGGGATGAAGGTAGGTGAGTTAAAGGATCCCCAGTGTATACTCCAGTATGTTGGACCTTATTCTTCATACCTCACCTTCCTCCACCCCATCCGTTGAGCCCTCTGAAAGAATCCGTGGTCTCCATGTAGTCGCCCTAAGAGTCCAGGTCATGGTGCCCCATGGTCCCACTGCTACCTACCAATGGGCTGCTGTTCAGGAACTTAAAGTACGGTCCACATGGTGGTTTTAGATATACCGTCATTCATGTGGATTCTTCAGTATGCTAACTTAAATCAAGAATCCCTATACGACCTTAGTTTCATCTCATTATCCATGCTCTCTCCATCTGTTTCTCCATTCTGGTAACTTAATTTCAGTTCCACATCATCATAGAGTTTTCCGTTGTACCCTTTGGGATTGTACCGTTGGTTGCGGATCAGTGAATCATCCAATATAGCCCTTAATCAGGGTATTCGTGACCCAAATCCAAGGTTACAGACCTTAAAGGTTCAAACTCAAGGTCTCAGAGATCGGCAACTCAGGATCCCTTACCATGGGTATCAATTCCTCAAGTGTGGTCTAGGGTTTAGCGGTTTAGGGTCCATGGGTCCCCAACCTTCAGGTGTGGTCTAGGGTTTAGCGTTTTGGGTTCAGGGCCCAGATTTTAGCCCAGAAGAGTGCTGGTTGCTGTTCAGGATACGTAAGTGGAATCACGTTACCACGGTAAGGTATCGCTACTGACTTCTATGGATGGAGGGAACCTTGCATGAGCCCTATACAGCACAAATATGGAGAGTACAGTGCTTTGGGGACGCTAAGTGCTGCAAGATTTCCTCAAACCCTAAAACCTGAACCCCTATACCCTCAACCGTTTTTTTATGTATACTCATATATTACATCAGCCTCCGCTCTGTATAATCCCAATAACCCCTGTAAAGGGAACCCATTCGGCCACCTGAATTAACACGGTTTAGGGGTTTTGGGTTTAGGGGTTTCGGGTTTAGGGTTTAGGGCTTAGGGGTTGCAACAACTCCCCCAAAAAAGCGAGCAAACAAGAGGACAGGGAGCTGCTGAAGGATTTCACTGCCAACTATCAGGCCTGCTTGATATGAGGGTTTCCCAAAATTACGGGTACCTTTTGTTGGGAGGCACCTATCAGGTCTATATTAAAGTCCGCCTATTTAGGGAAACTACCATATGACTGCACTAGAAGGGATATAGCATTATACAATCTAGGGGGTACAGGATTCCGTTTTAGGGTGTTGCGGAGTAAGAAGGAGTGCGTGCATATGTTTTACTTATAGCGGTTAGGGGCTGAAGTTTCGAGTGGCTTGGGGATGAGTTTTTGGGGCTCCTGCAGCAGGGACCCTGGGATGAGCTGAAACCCCTACTTCATAAACTTCCGTACCCATTCTGCTTGGACTTGCGTGCTGCTTCACTTTTGCGTGCTGCTTGGACCTTGCCTGAAAATTGTGATTTTTCCTGCTCGAGTTCAATTTTGTTATTGTGGCCTCCCCTTTGCTTTGCAATGGCTTCGCTTTTGCACGGTCTGTCTCCGGAGTTTGCTGATCTGGTTAGGGAGGCGTGCCCTGGGATCCGGGATGATGTTGATTTTTTCTACACGTCTTCCCGGGACTATGATTTCGTGGAAATCTACGCTGGCTTCTGTCGCCTATATGGGCAGTGTTGTGAAGCTGCTTTCTTGCAGAATGATTTGACAGTTTCTGTGTTATGGAGAGTACAGCATTCCTGCAATATTTTTCTGTGCTAGACCATTTTGGTGCATGTTCTCTCAGGCTGGACTCAAGGGCGATGCCTTCGATAGGATCTTGAACGCTGGTCATGATACGCAAACGAGGGAGGGCAAGCTGAACTGCGACTTGGTTTAAGAAAAGATTTGTGCAATGAAAGCTGTTGTCTGTCTGCTCTTCATGCTTTTGGAATTGCTGTGCTTTGTGACTTTCTTGCGTTTTGCTTCATGGGCGGGACTTGTCTGATTGGAATCAAGGCATTCGCATGATCACACGTGTTCGTCGACACGGTTTGGTATGGATAGCTCCGAACTGTGGGCCCTGGGTGAATGCCTGCTTCTACATTTCGCCTCTAGACCGAATGAAAATGGGCATGGGCAAATGATGCATGATTACTTTCTGATGCTTCATACTGTGGCTTCCTGCACTCAGGAAAAGGAATATCTGTGCCGAGGGAGATACTACTCGTGCTAGCGTTCGCAAGGCTAACGAGCAGGCTGACTCTTGAGCACGTATTATCATGCTGCATTGCAACAAGTTCAGTCCCTGTGAAATGTTTGTCTTGAATAGAAGCTCTGCTATGGCTCTGTCTAAGGATTTTCTCTCAGAGATCCTGACGTTGGCGTACAACTGCCAAATTTTTTGCGTGGTGGAGCAGCCATCAGGAAGCAAACTTTTCGAGTATGGGAATATCCGTGCAACTTGTCTTCAGCTGAGATTATCTTGGAGTCTGATGTGCTTGAGTCATGTTTGCATTGCTCTGGTACAATTTGGGATTGTCAGGCTTGCTGTGATGCGTTCAGCTACCTCAAAGTGTGCCTCCGAATGGGGTACTTTGCTGCGGAAACTGTGCTGCTTGTTGTGATTCAGTTGTTTTGCTTCCTGTGCCATGGTTCCTAATCTTAATTTCCATTGCTACTCATCTGAGGAAGCCTACCCAGCTGCGTGGAAATCACGAGTATCTCATGAGGGGCCTGGAGGCGTTGTCACATGATGAGGACCTGCACTTTGAGCGCATGCCTCAGCTGAAGAGTGTGATGTTCACAGAAACTTGGGGACATGAATTAACAAGTAGCAATCTTTAAGATGGGAAACTTTGAAGGTTCAATTGCCGGGCCACGGAGAAATGCACCACCTTCGATGGCAAGTGGTGGACCGGCAATGAAAACATGAAGGAGTCCCAATGCTACACGCATACCTTTGGGCTTGCTGTTGCTTGGCGCTTGTGGTTTTGTATCAGAGCATTTCCTCATGTTCATGTCTTGCATGCAACTTCTCCTGTTGGATTCTCAGGTTGCCATGCTGCTGAAGAGAGTGAAGGCAGAACCCGCAGAGCGTGTCATTTCAAGGTCCACAGGTCACATCCGGTTGATTTCTACGTGGTTGTTGGCGGCGGCACCTTGCCTTGTTTTAGAGAATGTGTCTGAAACTGTGTGTTCTGACTAGTTATGTGTTTTATGTGCGTCTTGTGTGTGTGTGTATGTGCATTCTGACAAGAAGAGCCTTTCCATGCCATGTGTCAAGCTCCTCCTCAATCCAAGGACCAGGATCAACGCCTGAGCCTTCCGAAGATGGATCCTCCCCGGCCGTTCAGAAAGAACGACTTCTACATCAATGCCCTGGGGTGTATGAAGGCTGTTTGCATGTGAGCATGCTTTGGGCTTTCATTTGCTCATATCCTGGTATCCCAGATTGTGGACTCTGCTCATTGCTCTTTGACATTAAAACAATGTTTGCCCATGTGACACAGAACCGGTTTCCTGTTTGGTTGCGGGCATGTGCGTTGTCAAAGATAAGTGATAATGATGTTTTAGACAAAGCAAGCTTGTCTCTACTCATTATTGCCCACGATTGCATGAAAGCACTTCAGAATTCATCACTGCATGGATCAGGAGTGTGCTCTGTACCACGAGATTCCATGGATGATTCTGCCTCACATCCGCCGGAGGGTGCCTTGTTCTGCATGCTGGTTCTGTTTCAGGCATATACTTGAGGCTGAAGAATACTGTTTGTGTTTCCTATTCCATGGGAGAAAAAGTTGTGACTGCTATCTGGGATTGTGTGCCCTTGTGATTCCACCAATTGATGGACTTCTCTTCTTTAGGGTTGCTGATCCAGGCGCAAGAATTGTGCCCGGAGCCAGAGGAGCCGGATGAGGAGATTGTTGTCAGTGACATGGAAACAGAATTCTGGAACATGAGTGCTACTTGGCTTCCATATGACTTTCCTGCCTCTGGTTCATCTGTTCAATCTTCTAGGATGTGGAAATGGTCGATGCCGAGCCTGTTCCACCTGAAGATGATGATGATGGCCAGTTGTCTGATGCCCCGTCCTCCACGACTTTGGAGCTGGGAATGTGAGTTGCCTGATTACAATTTGGGCTCCAGGAATGGGGGTTCTTCTTGCAACCTAGGTCCGTCCTGTAAAAAGGGATTTCATGAAAGTGGGCAAACAAGTTTGTTGCTTGTATGGTTCTTCAAACTTGCAATCCCTCCACTACTGATTGATGAATGGAGGGTTTCGATCTGTGCATTCAGAAATTGGGGATTTGGAATTGCTGTGGCTTGTTGGGTTCTGCAAGCTTCATAACTTGACAGGCTGTGTTGTGCAAGTGTGGACTTCTTTTGCCCATGCCCAGGCAGCAGCGGCGATCTCTTTGTGTGGCTGGCGGTGCTC